AAAATAAAATTATAAAAACTATGTAAATATGGAAATAAAAGGCTTATTATTATTATTATTATTAACACTCTTTATAACATAATCATATGATAAACGTATGAGAAAAATAAACATGTAATTGTTCAACTGCAGAAATCAAACAATTGTTTTGACGGCGATGAACTCTCTCCAGTCTTTCTATAGACATATTTGGCGCGTGTACCTTTCACGACATGACTTGATGTTTGCAGCGTATTGACTTCCAAACTTATTAGGATTATCCATGTTTGGTCCGCTAACAATGGACGTGGGTGATTAGTGTTAATTTCCACCAAAGCAGTATGTTAAATCACTTCCGTATTTATATGACAAGACTTTTTAACGTTAGTTAGAAACTTACAAATCGATTTTAATTCGAATCTCTAATTACCCAACTGGTTATAGAGGAACCTTGTTTTGGATAACTTTCGACTTGTTGGTTATTACGTTGTATGTTGTTGGTCATAAGTCAGCGTTCACAAAAGTGTTCACTTTTTCTTCTTCGAAAGTCGTGATCGTGAACTTGTGCGCGATAAGGGCGCGCTCACACGAAGCGGGCACACGCGCCTACTCCTATTGTAATTAAACGTGTTTTGACATCTCTTCTCTTTGTGTGCGCCCATAATTAATTACAGAGATAGCCTTTATTAGATTTAATTAAACGAGAAGCGGGTGCGTGTAACTGCTAATAAAATAGAGTATCAACTAGGAACCAATTAATTGAGGGACAATTTATGTTAATGAGATATAACAGTTACCTCTGGAACGACTTGAATAGTCTCGATAGATTTATAGCACCTTTTTATATTTTATCACTTTATTTTTTTAATTTCAATTTGTCTAGGGATTTCTTGTATTAGTTTTCGCAACGTGTGAATTTCACCTTAATTTGCAACATGCCGAATCGAAATCGTCTGTCAATGGTCTGGGTAGGCCGCTTTCGCGCTAGCGGCCGGAAGCGACGTCGCCCGCTGAGTGACGAATGTCAAGGTTCCACTCGTGTTGTGCTCTCACACTTTATTTACATAACCCTCGACAGTTACTTGCAATGCTCTGTATAGTAAAGTTTGTAGTGTAATTGCAAAATCTTTTTTAAATGAACGCTCCTAGTTCAATGTTTTTGTGACGTATACTATTTTTAAGTAATCATACCAATATTATATAATAAATGCGAAAGGATTGATGGTTTAGATGTTTGTTAGAATTCCAGAATAGCCGTATGAACTTGAATCATTCGCTAAACAACACTGTGTTGGAGAACAGTTG